TTTTTTTTTTTTTTTTTTTTTTTTTTTTTTGTTACTCCGCTTTAATGCCGGTAAAATCGTTGATACTATTGTAATCGAAGTTACCTTCGGTACACTCTGTATACCCGTATATACACACAGGTTATCCCATTCTCTTCCTTCGCGCTCCGTCCTCGTTCGTTGTACCTTCGGTCTCTTTCCATGGTCGGTGCTCCGGTCGCGAGCTGGCTATCTCGGGGTAAGGGGTAAGAACGCGACAGTGCCGGCGCACCGCGTTCCGTTACCCCGCGACATTGGAATTAATATCCAAGGCTCTCTTTCATTGATAATTTATCGATTATATTAATATCAACACGTGGAAAAATTTTAGGGTAAAAATTTTTCTCCAGTACAGGCAATATTTGTAATTTATATTTTTTTATCTTGAATAAGATTTTTTCTATAATCACGTCGATTTTAATTTTAAAAATTATATATATATATGCTTTATTGCGAAATGAAATTTAATCGTTTTAATTTTCTTTTTGTGGTAATTCAATGATTGAAAATAGAAATTGTGCAAGAAGCAAGATTATTATTGGCTTGGGGAAAATTTATAGATGAAATTTAAAACGTTTCTTTATCAAATCGAATAAAATGTATTGAATAACATTTCGAAATTCGCACGTGGTTTTTCAATATATTTATGAAGATATTTAATTATTGTTTACAACGTTCACGTAGTTTTTAATTAGGTTGGTATAAAAATATTTTGTTGTCATATTAATTTTGGCACAAAGAATTTTCGAAGAGCGAATCTCGCGTTGAAAATGTAGAAACACACTTTACTTTATAAATAACTTCCGACGCGGTTATCCACACTCACACACAATTGCAAAGCACGAAATTACAATATCTATTCCGACGTCAAGATTATTTAAATTAATTGGAATGTTAAATGAATTTGATCCGTCGTCGGAAGGAAAGAATCGAAACTTGATCTTATCTTATAGATAACAACCATAATAATTATTATTAACGATTATTAAAAAATGAGAAAAACAATGAAATAGAATTTAATTATCAATAAAACACAAAATTTTCATTCAATTACGATATAATCTCACAATAATAAAATTTTTATCGAATTTCATATTTCTTTTCGAACCATTTTACTCAAAAGAAAGAAAAATAAATATAAAAAGAATTATTACGATTCTCATCCGCATTGAAACAAAACTGAACGTGGTCAGAAATAACCGACAGTTGCAGTCATAACACTAGTATTGCGACATTAGAAGCTAGTGAAATTTTCCCGAAATTAAAAATCTCTTTTCTTTCTTTTTCTTTTCAACGATGTCTCATTAAAAATCTCGATATTTCCCAGAACTCTCCGTTATAACTCCGGATAAAGAGAAAGAGAGGAAGAAAGGAGCCGAACGA